CTCTAAGGTTAAGCATAACAGAAAAAGTAAAATAATATAGAAATTACTCAAATAAACTCGGTTTAAAGCAGTACCTGTGGCAGTTCGGCTTGTGGTTCTGTATGCCCAGAGGACGTTGTTGAGCTCGTCTGCCCACTTGGCCTTATGCTATTCCAATCTCAACTTTATACCTTCTAAAATGCATTTGTTAACAGATTCAACCATGCCATTGGACTCCGGATGGTAAACGGAGGTGAACTGTAACTTAATCCCATAACTGGAACAGAAATCTCGGAATGAGGAGCAATTGAATTGAGTTCCATTATCAGCCACAATCTGATTTGGGATCCCATATCTGCAGATGATCGAGCTGAAAACAAAATCTTCGACCTTCTTAGAGGTAAGACTAGATAAAGGCCGAGCTTTTACCCACTTTGTGAAATAATCCACACCAACAACTAGATGGGTTACACCTCCAACCCCTTTCACGAATGGGCCTAAAAGATCCAATCCCCACTGAGCAAATGGCCACGGTGCTACCATGTTCGTGAGTTCCTCTACTGGTTGGTGAGTCAGATGTGTGAAGAATTGACATTTCGAGCATTTCTGAACAAAGTAAGTGGCATCTTTATGTATGTTTGGCCAGTAATATCCTTGCCTTAAGACTTTGTGAGCCAGAGTCCGAGCACCGACATGGCTCCCACAGACACCTTTATGCACCTCTCGAAGTGCATATTCAGCTTCATAGGGGTTTAAACACCGTAGAAGAGGAAGTGAGAAAGATCTCTTATACAAGACCCCATCAACGAGGGTATACCGAGATGCTTTCTTTCTCAACTTCATTGCCTCCTGCCTGTCTTCAGGTATTATCCCATCTCGCAAAAAGGAGACGATTGAATCAGTCCAACTCGGCGTGTCTGGGTTTGTGCTAATCTCCATCACCCGAGGCTTCATGAAGCTTGGTTCATCTAAAATCTCTACAAAAACGGATCTGGAACTTAAAGAGCTGTTAGAGGCAAACTTAGAGAGTGAATCTGCCTATTCATTCTCAGCTCGGGGGATTTTACTCAGACAGAATTTCTGGAATCTGCACTTTAGCTCGACTACTAAGGCTACATACTTCACCATTATGGGATCAACAACTTCACAAATTGAGTTAATTTGGTTTACCACCAACTAGGAGTCACTGTATACTTGAATTGCACTGATTTTCAACTCTAGTGCTAGTTGTAGCCCAAGTAGCAGAGCTTCATACTCAGCCATATTATTTGTCGCATCAAAGTTGAACTTCAAGGCATGTTCGCTTCGGTATCCTTCTGGACCAATCAAGAGAGCGCCAGCCCCTGAACCCTTGCTACTAGATGCTCCGTCAACATATAAGGTCCAATCGTTGGGCTTTGGAGTAGAGGTTGAAGGACATGGGGTGCATTCAACAATGAAATCTGCTAGTGCTTGAGCTCGGATTACGGATCTCTGCTGAAACGTGATCTCAAACTCCCCCAGTTCTACTGCTCACTTGATTAATCTTCCAGAACATTCTGGTTTCTGTAGAATCTGTCGAAGAGGTTGATCTGTGAGAACAATGATTGGGTGTGACTGAAAATATGGCCTCAATTTCCTTGCCGAAGTGACAACTGCTAGTGCTGCTTTCTCCGCTATAGGATATCTCAGCTCCGCTCCGTGTAATACACTACTGATATAATAGATTGGTTTCTGTTGCTTGGCTTCCTCTCTTAACAGAACTGAACTAATGGCCTCTTCTGAAATCCCCAGGTACAAGTAAAGAATCTCTCCATCGACAGCCTTAGTCAGCAGAGGTGGTGAGCTAAGATAAGACTTCAGCTCGTCGAATGCAGCCTGGCTCTCCTGACTCCATTCAAATTTCTTCTGTTTTCCTGATTCATCCTTCTGGGTAGCCGACCTCATGATGTTGAAGAATGGCAGGCACTTATCTGCTAACTTCGATATGAATCAATGAAGGGCTGCCACTCTTCCAGTCAACCTCTGTATATCTTTTACTGATTTCGGTGATTCCATCTCGGCAATTGCTCTAATTTTTTCTGGATTAACCTCAATCCCTCTTTGGGACACCATGAAACCCATAAACTTTCTAGACTCCACATCGAAAATACATTTGGCCGGATTCAACCGCATCTTGTTCTTTCTGAGGTTGTTGAAGGTTTCATCGAGATCGGCTAGATGGTCTTCTGCTTTCTGGCTCTTTACTACGATGTCATCGACATACACCTCCAGATTCTTGCCGATCTGAGCTCGGAAGACGATGGTCACCATTTTCTGATAAGTAGCACCAGCGTTCTTTAAGCCAAACGGCATCATGACATAGCAATAAATTTCATCGCCAGCATAGAACGAGGTTTTCTCTTCATCTTCGGGAGCCATTGGCACCTGGTGATACCCAGAATATGCATCCAAGAGGCTTAACCTCTCATTGCCTGAAGCCGCTTCAACTAATTTGTCAATGCTCGGCATTGGATAGCAATCCTTGGGGCAGGTGTGGTTAAGATTTGTATAATCAATGCACATTCGCCATTTGCCATTTGCCTTCTTCACCAGGACTGGGTTAGCCACCTATTCACAGTAATCAACTTTCCTGACAAAACCAGCCTGTAGGAGTTTCTCCACCTCTTCTTTGACAGCCTGAAGCCTCTCCCCCCCGAAGAGACGCCGCTTCTGGGCCACTGGTTTCTTCAATGGGTTGGTACTGAGCTTATGTTGACATATTGAATTTGGAATTCCTGGCATATCTGTCGAAGTCCATGCGAATACATCATTATTGGCTCAGAGAAAAGCTATTAACTCTGCCTTTTCCTCTGGGTTCAATCTAGTTCCAATCTGTGTTTTTCGGCTCAGATCTCTGTCATCAACGAGCACTTCTTCAACATCTTCGACTGGAGCACCTCTGGCTTCATCATCCGGTCGATTATCGACGATCTTTACACCCATAACTTGCTGAGTATCAGGAATTCGCTGGGGAATGGCCTCGGGTGTCTGATCTTTGCCCTTCATTGGTTGTGTTACTAAGGTGATATAACAATGTCTGGCCACCTCTTGGTTTCCTCGCAATGTTGCTATTCCCATAGGAGTTGGGAACTTCATGCAGAGGTGAGATTGGGAAACCACAGCTCAGATTTCAGTCAATGTAGGTCAACCAATGACAATGTTGAAAGAGGACGCCATCTTGACGACGAGGAACCGGACTGAAAGGGTTACATAGGTCTGGCCACTCCCAAAAGCCACATGGAGGGTAAGAACTCCTTCTACCGGAACAGGTTGGTTGTTGAAACCATAGATAGGACCGTCATATTTCTGCAACAATGCTGGATCTAGTCCCAGACTCTCAAAACAGTGGAAGTACATGATGTCTGGTGCACTCCCAGTATCAACAAGGACACGCTGTACTTCACAGTTATTGATCATGACAGTAGTGACCAGAGGATCATTGTGGGGTGTAACAACTGTGTCGAGGTCAGCAGATGTGAAAGTAATGGGTTGATTCTTCCACTCAGCATCGTCAATCTTCCGCTTCTGAACTCGGTTTTTATGTTTAACCTCTCTAACATACAGCTTTCGCTGCTTAGAGCTCAGTCCACCTGCTTCAAGGCCTCCCGTAATCATGTGTATGATTCTAGTTGGTGGTGGGAGCAGAGGTGGGGCTTGCTGATATCCCACACCTTGCCTATTTGGGGGATTACGGACTCCTTGAGGCTGTGGCCTCTGTTCTCTGACAAACCTCGGCTATTCAGCTCTCTGAACATACTCATTCAGCATTCCCTTCTGAGCTAAACTTTCCAGTTCGGACCTTAAACTATTACACTGCTCTGTAGTATGGCCGTGATCTTGGTGAAAATCACAATATCTGGTATGGTCTCGACTAGTAGCAGCAGTTCGCGTTGGGCCAGGACGTCTCAAGTCCATTTTGTTCTTAATCTACATAAAAATCTGCGACCTTGGCAGATTAAAGGGAGTCCAATTAACTGGAGGTTTACTTGCAGATTGTTGTGGGGGTGTGGAGTTCGGCCTGCCGAATCTCGGTGAGGAGGTCAATACTGGACCTCTGTTCTGCGCCATCCTCATCCTTTTCCGGGTTGGATTGTCATCTCTCCACTCTGGGTTCTGGTTCTTAGTGGGAGTCGGATTCTGCGCCAGGGCATACTCCTCGGCAGTTATAAACTTTAGAGACCTATCGTTCACCTCGCTGAAGGTGATGGCAGCATGTTTGATCAAACTGTCTCTAAACCTGTCATGCTTAAGATCGGAGATTACAGCTGCAATCCCCACAGCTTGATCAAAGGAACTAACCTCCAATACCGCATCATTGAACCTGCTCATATAGTTCTTTAGGGATTCTCCATCCTTCTGTTTAACTGTCATCAGCTCAGAAGTAGTTTTCCTAATCAACCTTCTACTGGAAAACTTAGTGGTAAAGGCAGATGTCATTTCTGTATACGAGCTAATTGACCTCGGAGGTAAACTGTAATACCAAGTTCGGGCGTTACCTCGAAGAGTAGAGGGGAAGATTTTGCACATCAACGCGTCGGAGGCGTTCTGAGCTTGCATACAAGAGTAGAAAGCATGCAGGTGGTCATCGGGATCTTTCATCCCGTCGTAAGTCTCCAGTTGTGGTATTTTGAAGCCAACAGGATAGGGTTCTAAAGTAATGTTGGTATTCAGAGGGTGAGGTATAGAATCAGCAGTATGGTGTGGGGGTGGAGCACCTCGGTGTTCAGCTACTAGCTTTTCCAAGCTATCGAGACGGCGAGTAACATCATC